TCTCACCATTTCTGTCCCACCATTGGCCTAGCATGCCTTGCAGGTAGATCAACTTGTATATCAAAGGTTTATGTTTCTGTTTTGGTAACCCACAAAGAATCTTTCCATACATGGCACTAGAGCATAGGGATAGACTCTATATAGTCATTGGCTCTACTTCCTTGTGTTACATGAATTTTGTAGGTGTTATATTAAGCAATGGACAATCCTTTACCCTGAGGTACTCAGACGTAAGATCTTATAGTAGCCTATCTCATAATAAAAATATTTATATTTGACAACTCTTGATCACTGTATCTTTTCAGTTTTTTTATTATTTTTTTTACCAATTACCTTTTCATATTTTTAAATGAATCATTTATAGTGATAATTTAATCACAAAATTAAAGCAATAAATACCTAACTATTATGATGATAGATTCTAGGAAAATTGAGTTAACAAAATTCTCTCAGTTCCTCTATCATTAAATAATCATGTTCCTGGATTGTAGGCTCTCTCTTGACTAAAGAGTTTGGCAAAGATGATGACATAGCACTTTTATGATCATATTAGATTATATCACAACTTCTGCTATGATTACAGAAGGTGGGGAAAGGAAATCAAAGTTAAACTTTTAGCAGTGTGGTGAGGCCTGCCATAGTCATCACACCTTAGTCTTTGGTAAAGTTGAATAGGAAACTTAGATATAGATAAATATTTTTTGCAAAAATAAAATTATTTCCAACAAAAAGATTAGAAGTATTTAAATGAAATATTATAAAACACAATGTTTGTATTCCTAAATATTCCTTTATCTTATCTGCTACCCATAACTGTATATACACTTTTTTAAATCTAAAAACACAATTCACAATAAATAGTGGAACATATTCAAATACAAAAATGTTTTCTGATTGTAAATTAGTTATTAAAGTAAGTGATGAAGCCAGAGAAGTAACTCTCCAGATGTTATGCTCACCATGACAAGATGTGCTTATTAAGCCAAGGAACACAATCACTTGAAAATATTTCCATATGTTTTTGCAGATTAATTAATTAAAATAAATACCCATGATAGACTAGCATTTGCTTTGGTCTGTGATTAGAATCCAGGAAACACAATGATTTAATTAACAATTCACCAGAATCCCAATGTCTTTGGGTGTTTGTACAATGACACAGAACTAGATAGAGAGCCTGTACTTCCAGGTGCTTTCAGTTTCCTCATAAATGTTATATGATATGTAGAAGAATTTGGTCTGCTATATTTCCTGCTCATTTAGAAAAATCCATGAGAAAATGAAGTATGGGTTACATTCCCTTATCAGCTTAATAATTTTATTCCCTTCAATATAATAAAAATTCGTTGAACATGAGTTATAACTTTATACTGTCATATTAAATTTTTATGTATATCTTGAAATGTTTAGTTTTTTCATGAATTTATTCTGTGACTTCTCAACTAGATGACTCTTTTAATGCTAGCTATTAAAATACTTGTGAATGTTAGATACTTCTAGGATATAAAGATGTTGGGTCAAATACAATATAGTATATGTGTGTATAGTATATGCATATATACATATGTATTCATAGTGCTTATTATCCATCCACATAGCATGATGCAATAGATAGTATGAATATTTATAGGTCTAAAATCATGGCTTAATGGAAAGTGGCAGCATTAATCCCACAGATCAACACTGATGCATTTAAATGTCTTATTCTAGGTGATAAAAGCAAATAATATTGAAATATACAAGAAGGCAGACATCTGTCTTTACCTACTTTCTCAGATTTATTTTCTGTAGTTTGAATAACGATGACCCAAAGCTCTATATTGCATTGTAGCATAGAGATGATACAAAGTCAGCTCACAAATCTATAAGAGGTAAAATTAAAGGTGACATACATCAATAAATGCCCAGGAATTTGTATCATTTCTGACTAAAACATTCTGAAAGTAGTATTTCCATAATGAAAGTGGATGAAGGTAGGACAAACTGTGGCTTCTTTCCTTCAAAATCATGAAACCGATGGTTTGCCCAACCAGCCTCTTTTCACAAGAAAGGTTAAAGTCATTCTTCCCAGACTCACACAGTTATAAAATGTTTAGTAAATTGCGTAAGTTAACACGGGGGAGGCAGGGGAGGCAGGGGAGGGGGGAAGTATGATGTAACCTCACTAAGACCCAAAGACAAAAATATAGGCAGTGTTTCAAAATTGTCAACTGGTTTCCTTTAAAATAAGACAGGCCTAATGGAGTCAGGTAGAAGCCTGATGCAAGGGAAACTTATAGGAGTCTACAAAGACGGCCCCAGGTAAGACTCCTTGCAGTAATGGATGCAGCCTGAACTGGCGTCTTCTGTGATCAGATTGGTCACTGCCCTTGTCATCAGATAGCCTTTATCAAATAACTGATAAAGGCAGATCAGAGACCTATAGCTAAACGCTGGGCCACACTAGGGGATAACTGCTGAGGAAAGGAAGGTGGGATTGACAGGCACTGGGGGAGGAGAGGTCTGGAATATCACAGAAAATTCACACAAACCACTAGCCTGTTTCATGGGAACTCACAGAGTCTGAACTAACAGTAGGGAGACTGCATGGGATCGATCTAGGCCCTCTGCATATATGAGAGGGTTGTGTAACTTGGTCTGTTTATGGGATTCCTGTCAATGGGAGCAGGGGCTGTCTCTGGCGCTTTGACTGGCTCTTGGGAATCTGTTCTTCTTGCTGCATTACCTTGCTCATCATGAATTACATAGGGCGGTGTTTGGTCTTATGGCAGCTTGACATGCCAGGCTTTGCTGAAGCCCATGGGAGGCCTGCCCCTTGCTGAGTGAATATGGAGGAGAGGAGAATTGGGGTGGGGTATAAGGAAGAGGAGGGAGGGCATAGGAGTAGGGAAGGGAAAGGAGGCTATGGTGGGTATAAAAAATAAAATTAATTAATAAGAAAGAAATGAGATAAGCATAATCAAAAACAATAAAATAAAAATGGGTACAATAACACAAGAAATATAAAAAATGGAATTACTAAATTTTAAAGCAAGATTATCTCTTACTGTCCCATAGTTAAAAATATTATCAAATGAATAAATTAAAAAATTCATTTCGGCCTTCTGTGAACAGCGAGATGTACGGAATAGGTGTCAAGATGGCCACCCTCATAGAGGGCGCAGCCATGCCGGTCTCCTGACAATATCACCACAGCCGACAGTCTCTGCAGATCCCTAACTGCTCCTTCTTCAGTGGGATTGTGATCTAGGAATTCATTACCGAGTCCTCTAGAAGAGCAGGATCTGTGTCCTTCGAAGATGTAGCTGTGGATTTCACCCAACAAGAGTGGCACAGACTGGACTCTACCCAGAAGAACGTGCACAAGGATATGATGCTGGAGACTTACAATCACTGGCATCTATGGGCCTCTGCGTGGCCAAACCAGACATGATTTTCAAGTTAGAACGGGTAAAGAACTCTGGATATTAGAAGAGGAATCCTCAGACCGTGATTACTCAGGTCTCGCTGTTCAGCCCAAGTCGTCCGGAAACTTATGATCCTTCTGCTTCAGTCTCCCAATTACTGGGAATACTGGTGTGTATTACTGTGTCTAGCTGCTAATGATAGCATTATAAAGACTATGTTAAGTATTTTATATTGTGACAGGGGAAGCATTTGGGGATTTTACATGAATGAGTGACACACTTGCTGCTTTTAAAGGACCTCTGTCTCTGCTATGTGGCAACAGTTCAGTTGGGAGGCGATGCCCTTGTGCTAGAGAACAATGTTTATCTGTATCAGAGTATTCAATGTGGGAAGACTTCCATGAAGAAACAGATTTTGTTCAGCATAAAAGCACTCATACCAGAGATAAAAACTTTGAATGTCATGAGTGTGGAAAGGTGTACTGCAGAAAATCTAATCTTGTTGAACACCTGAGAACACATACTGGGGAGAGGCCCTATGAGTGTGTCGAATGTCCAAAGACGTTCAGTGCAAGATCATACCTCAATGCTCATCAGAAAACTCACACGGCAGAGAAGCCCTTTGGATGTCATGAATGTGGGAAATCTTTTGGCAGGAGGTCACAACTCATTCTACATCGCAGAACACACACAGGAGAGAGGCCCTATGAATGTCCTGAATGTGGGAAAACCTTTCCTGAGAAGGCAACCCTCACAATCCACCAGAGAACCCACACTGGTGAGAGGCCTTATAAATGCAATGAATGTCAGAAGACATTTCAAGTCAAGATATCGCTCACCCAGCACCTGAGAACTCACACGGGGGAGAAACCCTATGAATGTGGGGAGTGCGGGAGAAACTTTACAGAGAAGAAATCCCTAAACCAGCATCAAAGAATTCACACAGGTAAGAAACCCTAAGAGTGTGGAAACTGTGGGAAATTCTGAATGAAAATGACTCTCAATAATCATCAGAGAACCCACACAGGTGAAAAGCCCTATCATTGTAATGAATGTGGGAAGGCCTTTAGGGTACAGTCATCTCTGGGAATCCATCAGAGAATCCATACCGGAGAGAAGCCCTATGAATGTAATGACTGTGGAAATTGCTTTCTGTGTGAAAGCTCGTCTCATTGAGCATCATAGTATTCATTCAGGAGAGAAACCCTGTGAGTGTAGCGACTGTGGGAAGATCTTTAGCATGAAGAAATCCCTTCGTCAACATAAGAGAACTCACACTGGTGAGAAGCCTTATGAGTGTAGTGAGTGTGGAAATGCCTTTTGTGTGAAAGTGCGCCTCATTGAGCATCAGCGAATTCACACAGGAGAGAGGCCTTTTGAATGTCAGGAATGTGGAAAGGGTTTCTGTCGTGAAGCCCACCTCACAGAGCACCAGAGAACTCACTTGGGCCGATCCTTGCTTTGTGCATTGGAGAAAGCTTCTCCCTGAAGAATCCCTCATTCCCTGCACTGGTTCAAGCCCATAGGGGCATCTAATCAAGAAAAACTTGCAAAGCACACTTGCCACTGTGTGGTACTTAGACTAGTATAAAAATGTGTCTGATCCCTTTAGAGAGGCCCTATGAGTGTGGCGAATGTCCAAAGACATTCAGTGCAAGATCATACCTCATTGCCCATCAGAAAACTCACACGGGAGAGAAGCCCTTTGGATGTCATGAATGTGGGAAATCTTTTGGCAGGAAGTCACAACTCATTCTACATCGCAGAACACACACAGGAGAGAGGCCCTATGAATGTCCTGAATGTGGGAAAACCTTTTCTGAGAAGGCGACCCTCACAATCCACCAGAGAACCCACACTGGTGAGAGGCCTTATAAATGCAATGAATGTCAGAAGACATTTCGGGTCAAGATATCGCTCACCCAGCACCTGAGAACTCACACGGGGGAGAAACCCTATGAATGTGGGGAGTGTGGGAGAAACTTTACAGCGAAGAAATCCCTAAACCAACATCAAAGAATTCACACAGGTGAGAAACCCTATGAGTGTGGAGACTGTGGGAAATTCTTCCGAATGAAAATGACTCTCAATAATCATCAGAGAACCCACACAGGTGAAAAGCCCTATCATTGTAATGAATGTGGGAAGGCCTTTAGGGTACAGTCATCTCTGGGAATCCATCAGAGAATCCATACCGGAGAGAAGCCCTATGAATGTAATGACTGTGGAAATGCTTTCTATGTGAAAGCTCGTCTCATTGAGCATCAGCGTATTCATTCAGGAGAGAAACCCTATGAGTGTAGTGACTGTGGGAAGATCTTTAGCATGAAGAAATCCCTTCGTCAACATAAGAGAACTCACACTGGTGAGAAGCCTTATGAGTGTAGTGAGTGTGGAAATGCCTTTTGTGTGAAAGTGCGCCTCATTGAGCATCAGCGAATTCACACAGGAGAGAGGCCTTTTGAATGTCAGGAATGTGGAAAGGGTTTCTGTCGTGAAGCCCACCTCACAGAGCACCAGAGAACTCACTTGGGCCGATCCTTGCTTTGTGCATTGGAGAAAGCTTCTCCCTGAAGAATCCCTCATTCCCTGCACTGGTTCAAGCCCATAGGGGCATCTAATCAAGAAAAACTTGCAAAGCACACTTGCCACTGTGTGGTACTTAGACTAGTATAAAAATGTGTCTGATCCCTTTAGGGAATTGTTCATTATTTCTTGACTTTGAGGGGGAACACTTTGTAGCCCAGGCTGGCCTTGAATGTTTGCCATAGTCTTCTGAGTGCTTCAACAGCAGGTAGGCAAACAGTCTGTGACTTGTTTCATTTGTATTTTTCCATTTATTGGTGAAGATGAACATATTGTATGATGACTAGCTATATGAATTTTTTATCTGCACTGATTGCTCATATCCTTTGCTCACTGTTTCCTAATGAGAACTTTATCTTGCACTCTCTGTTTTAAATGTTGGTGGTGCTATTGTTTAACATGTAAGCATATGAAGTCCTTCATTCATGTGTTAAAACATCTTCTCTCAATCTGTGCTAGGTTTTCAGTTTTGTTAACTCTTTTCTTGTGCTAAAGTTTTATGTTTCAGTTATTGTCTGTTTTAAGGTGATAATATTTATGTATACTTACTCAAAAGTGAAGATTATTCATAAACATTTTGAATTTAAATCTACTGTGAGAATTTTTTGGTATAGTATGGAGCCTGCAATGTATAATAAATACTATATTGTCTTGTTAGAAAAATTATTTCAAGTATTTATACCAATTTTTATACCCACTATTCCTCAGAGATAGTTAATAGTAGTAAAATGTCTCTCCACACTGCACTCTCATAATGTACAGAAAAGTTATTGCAATATTTAATAATTATGTTAATTATATACAAATACTGGTATAATAAGCAGGATCAACATTTAAATTACATATTATTTTGGCATCTAAAATATAAAGAAAAACAATATAGCTTTCATTATATGCTTTCTCTACCAATAATATAAAACAAAGGTACATAAAATCAATGCAGAACACAATTTTTCTTTGATATAACACAGATAAACAGAAAGAATTCAATTTCTCTACAATGGAAAAATACTTGGAAATTGTGATTCTTAAAAATATAACTAACAATGTCATCTAAAATGTAGTTTGTAATAAAAGTAAAGTTATATATAAAACATGCTTGAACTGAAAAGAACAAAAATTTTACTGGAAATTTTGTTTTCAATTCTCAGATCTGGGATAGATGATGTTCATGGTCTTATGCAAATAAGGATGAAAAATTAAGTTCTCTGCAGTATAATCTTGAGAACAGAAAATAGACTTTTTATATAATCAATGATTCTAACATTATCACATCATATGATATTTCAATTCAGATTCTATTTTACAGAATCAAGAATAAATAAAGATAATATGAGATAAGACAAATTTGAGAGGTTTACTTACTGCAGCAAAATGGTAAGAAATCATAGGTAAACCTTTAATTTATGTATTCTCATTGGATAACTGAGAAAAGAGCTAAATAGTGTCAGGAAATTTAGTTAACTTATAAAAATTACATCTCTTAACCCCATCTGTTAATACACACACACACACACACACACACACACACACACACACACACACACAAACACACTGGCTGCTGACTTTCTTTCAAAAAGCCACCAAAATCTTTATCATTCACCCAAAATAGCATGAATGAAAGTGTACTTAAAATTTAAAATAAACCTTTTTCTTCTCTAATAAAATACACATAGAGTAAAAAAATAACCATCCCCAGTTTAGAAAGTGGAAAAATATGCTCCCATATGTATAGATATGATTTTCTAAATTAATTTTTCCTAATATTTTTGTAAATTGATAACCAGTAACAACAAACCATTACTTTTATTTTGAAATATAGCCAGATCAACAGAGAGTGAAAAGGAAACAAACATAACTTTTGACAGGAGCTATTTTCTTGCCATTACACTATAAACAGTGCAGAATAGTAACTATTTACTTATAATTTGCATTGTGCTATGTCCTGTGAGTAATACAGAAGCATGGAGGTTGTTGGCAAACACCTTGTCATTTTCTATAATTTATTCAAGGATTTTGGTTTGTTCATGGGTCTTAGAAATAATTCCTCACAGATGCTAAGAGACTACTTTATAGTAAAAGAGGGACTTACTTATGAGGTGAAACAATAAAGATAGAATCCATAAGTGAAAAAATGAGAGATAAAGTTCAAAAGTAGAAATCAATAGCAGGCTATTGGTGGCGCATGCCTTTAATCCCAGCACTTGGGAGGCAGAGGCAGGAGGATCTCTGTGAGTTCGAGGCCAGCCTGGTCTCCAGAGTGAGTGCCAGGATAGGCTCCAAAGCTACACAGAGAAACCCTGTCTAGAAAAGCAAACAAACAAAAACAAAACAAAGCAAAACAAAATAAAACAAAACAAAAGAAATCAATATATGTTGTTCATTATTAGGATTGCAGTTTATTCTGATGCCTATGTTAGGTGGGGTATAGAAGCCTTTAACCAAAATGATATTCCAGTGAGGTTATATAAGCACAACCATTGTAAAACATTTGTTGTATTATAGATCTGTGGCATGTTTCCTCTCCTTTGTGCATTTTATAACTTCCAAAACTTCACAAAGCAGCCCGTAGTGTTTGAGCAATCTACCTTCACCTGCAAGTGGTTCATGTCTCTTTGCTCCTATTTAGCACTTGTTAGCTTTTGCTCTACGTCCTACCTCCTGGTATCTCCAGGACATATAGCCTCCTTTCTCTTTTCTTTTAAGCACTGAGTCTCCTGTGTCTCTTTCTTAAATATTTTGTTATTTTCCCATCTTCCTTTTAGTAAATATCAGGGAGGATTATGCAATACTGTGTTTCTTCAAATACTATGCTTATAGTCTGTATTTTCTTTTTTTTTTCAAAGATTTATATGTGAAAACAATGTTGACTTTACTAAGATTATATGAATGTTTATAAAGAAATATATAAGAGCAAATGTTTGTTTTCAGCATGGTAAATTATGAAAATGATTATGTGAGAGCAGACCCTGTTAACCATGGGCAGAAGTAGAAGCATAAGATGTTGACTGTGCTCTGGTACTTGGACAAGGTTTCATATTATTTGTGTTTTCAGGAAAAGTCCTATAAAGAAAGCCATACAATGGATAATGAGAGGATTGTCAGAGAGTCTCCTTCCAATTCTCCCTGTCAAGCCTGATCCTTGGGTCAGTGTCTTCTGAAGAAATGAACCTTGTGTCCTTCCTCATGGGTCAGTCTTTCTCATACACTATGAGAGATTTATCAAATTTTAATTCTTCTGTTTGTTCAATTTATCTTGGCCAGAAAATTTGCTAATAATACAACGTGTGATCTCCAAACACAATAGCTCACAGTACACTGATGATGTTACTTCAAAAATTCTTTAGGGGGTATTGATGATGCCATGCATTTTTCTCCTCAGCCATTTTAATTTTCTTCTTGTAACTGGAAGGAAATTCATAACTATACATAAAATAATTAAAACATTATTCTCACGCATTGCTTGCAACAAGTTAAACTCCGTGCCTCTCCTCTCAGAGATGACCATGTCCTCTGTAAAAGCATAAAAGCAGCATGCAAAATTTCTTTCTTTAAGCATGCTGGTTACTATAATGGGAAATTACCAATATGGAGTCAGGTAGAAATATAAGGGTATTTAATAGGGAAAAGCCTTACTTAACAGAGCGACCTAGCCAGCCGGTGTGGCAGCGGTCTGTACACAAGCCCCAGAGAAAAACTGAAAGAGAAAACGCAGTCACATTGCCACGCCTACTTAGGGGCTGGCTACAGGTTACAAATGTAAATATATCATAAGCACCTGTTACTTTTCTTCTGGCAGAGTAGGTGTTGTGTAGGAAGTAGGAGACTGGTGCCCTTCTGCCTCGAATTATTAATGTTAGGAGGTACTTGTTCAAAGAAATTCATTATCACGTGTCACTTGTATATCTAATGTAATCCTTGGAAGGTACCTTTTGGATTCTGCCAGGAAGTAAAGGCTCTCTGTAGCCTTTTCCATTCACATTTGTCACGTTTATTCCTGCTGCCTTCCATATCTGCAGCCTGGCTCTTTCCTTAGCTTAAAAATCAGTCACCAGTTACTTTCAATCAACTTCCCTCAGTTACATTTCCTTCTCTTTATTTTTCTTTCTTCTATTTAACTGTTTGTCCTTTTTCTTTTCTCTTGTGCTCTCATGTATTTTCTTTCTGTGTGTGGACATGGTACTGATGATTGATCACAGGGTTCACCAATACTGGACACACACTCTTTTCCAAAATGCTATCCATTTCCTCTGCCATGGCTAGTCGGGTTGTCAGCTTGACACAGAAGGGAAGAAGGAACCTCAGTTAAGGAACTGCCTTCAACAGATTGGCCTGTGGTCATGATGGGGAATATTTTTTTTAAATTCCATTTAAAATGAGAAGATCTGGCCCTTCTCTAGAAATACCATCTCTAGGTAAGTGGTGTTGGCTGTATAAGGAAAGAAGCTGAAAGTGCAGCTAGAAGAGGGAAGCAATAAGTAGTGCTCTTCCCTATTATCTGCATAGTTTCTGCCTCCTGCTTTGTGCCTTGAGCTTTGGCCCTGGCTTTGCTCTATGATGAGTTGTAATGTGTAAGTTGAAATAAACCTGTTGTTCCCCAAGGTGCTTTTGTTAAAGGCTCTTATTTTACCTTCACTCCATGCAGGCGTTAAGGCTTTGAGTGTGGGATAGAAGGATGGAACACTTTGTTCATTAGTATCTGCTTCTTTGAACTAGAGTTACAGGTGGTTGCAAGCTATCAAGAAGGTGCTGGGAATTGCATCTGGACCATTTGCGCTGTCTTCCCACCTCCTGTCTGCATTTCTTTAATTCAGAATGCACTGAGTTAAATGAACAAACAGTGAAGCCAGGAAACTGTGGACATTTGATAGTATACTTATCTCATGTCCGGATTCACAGGTAAAAAGCTGTATTGATTAATTTTATTGTTATTGCCATAAAATAACCTGAGAATATCAAATTACAGAAACATGTTGGTTTACAGTTCT